GCTTAGAAATTGAGCCATGTAGTGATTTTGCCATTTCATCTTGACGTTGCTTGACTCTTCTATTATGAGCTCCAGAGTTTTGTTTTCTAATCCTTGCTCGGTTTTTGTCATCTCCCGTCATAGTGTATTGTAGTCTGTAAATATAATTATATAACATATATGAAATCACAATAAACTAAACTTAGCAATATCAATGAAGGACAGACCCGGCCCTTATCTTCCCAATTTCCCAATTAGCAATATCATTATTATTAAAACAAACATTATTTCATTGCAAAACAAACATTATATCAATGAAGGACAGAGTCTTGATAGAGGTGGAGATGCCTGCTCAATTACCTAGTTATATTAAAATTCAAGGTCTAACTGGTAGCATATATTCTCAACGTGTTCTTCATGAATTTAAACCTCAATGTTGTGCACATTTAAATTGATTGGACATGATACCGAGCTTTGTAGAAAGCATAAACCAAATATGCAATGAAGATCAAAGCTCAATTGCAAAATCATTATTATTAAAACAAACCCCAATTTCATTATTATTAAAGCAATATCATTATTATTAAAACAAACAATATCATTCCAAAATATCATAACCCCTAATTTAATTCTTCAACTAAGATTCAACCAAGATTACCCCTAATTTAATTCTTCAACAACTAAGATTCAACCAAGATTCAAAATCAAAATCTTAATTTCATTGCAAAACATAAAAACCCCAAATTTCTATCCAAAAAAAAAACCCTAAAATTATTTAGTTAAAAATTTTTACCTGATGGAGTGAAGCTTGACTGCTTGAAGGACGGGTCGACGGACTCGGAGGCTCGCCGGCTCGGTAGGGAGGAGCGAAGCCGCCGGCGGCGGCTCGGGAAGGGGGACTGGACGAGGAGAGGAGGGTTTCTTTTTTTTTTTCTTCTTTTTTGTGAACGGGAGTCGGGAGGTCAGAGACTTGGAGTTGGAATCGCTGAAATAAAAGGTGGGGTCGAGTTCTTTTACAAACATAACCTCTAACATTTTTTGCATAAAGGCCCTTGTACAAAGTCTATTTTAAAAATCAAAGAAAATTACAGTTTGAGGGGTATAGGAGCGTTCAGAATGGGTTGCCCCCCGGCCCTGGGTTGCCCCAGCCCCGGGGCTTGGTGGGCTTACCCCAGGGCCGGCCGAGGAGCGAAGCCGCCGGCGGCGGCTCGGGAAGGGGGACTGGACGAGGAGAGGAGGGTTTCTTTTTTTTTCTTCTTTTTTGTGAACGGGAGTCGGGAGGTCAGAGACTTGGAGTTGGAATCGCTATGAGCCTGTGATGACGGAAATAAAAGGTGGGGTCGAGTTCTTTTACAAACATAACCTCTAACATTTTTTGCATAAAGGCCCTTGTACAAAGTCTATTTTAAAAATCAAAGAAAATTACAGTTTGAGGGGTATAGGAGCGTTCAGAATGGGTTGCCCCCCGGCCCTGGGTTGCCCCAGCCCCGGGGCTTGGTGGGCTTACCCCAGGGCCGGCCCTGGGCGTTGCTGTTGTTGAGTTCCTTGCCCGACGAGGAATATGAGACATTCGTTCTTACTCTGATTAATAGGAAGGCATTACTTTCGTATAGTGAGGTCACTGCTGCACTTGTGAATTATCAGCTTCGAAAGAAGGATAAGGAGGCTTCAGTTGAGCCGGTAGCAGAGGCATTGGTCGCAAGAGGGAAGAATCCGAACCGGAAGAATTGGAAGTCACAGTCTAGAGTAGGGCATCCTACAATTGGAAAAGATCAGTGTGCTTGGTGCAAGGAGACTGGTCATTGGTAGAAAGACTGCCCAAAGCTCGACGAATGGATGAAGAATAAGCAGAAGGGAAAAGGGAAGCGACCATCATCAGAAGCAAACATCGTATCGGATGGTAATAATTCTGACTCTTCTATTTATTCGCTTTCTATCAGTCCTACAGATAGCTATTCGAAGGAATCTGAATGGATGTTGGATAGTGGTGCGACCTATCATGTGTGCCCTAGAAGGGAATGGTTCTCCAGTTTTGAGAAGCTGGATAGTGGTGTGGTGTACATGGCTGATAACCTTACATGTCAGATCCTTGGGATAGGAAGAATTCGCATCAAAATGTTTGACAGGGCTGTTAGAGAGTTAAATGATGTGAGATATGTTCATTCTTTGAGGAAGAACTTGATCTCAATTGGAGCTTTGGTTGGAGAGGGTCTGAATGTTCGAATTGAGGACATGGTTCTCAATATTGTGGAAGACTCTCAGATTGTGATGAAGGGCGTCAAGAGGAATAACCGGTATTACTTGACTAGAGGTATAGTGGCAGGTGGAGAACTGGCGACTTCTGTTGATTCGACTAGACTGCGATATTTGGGGCTTGGCCATTCCAGTATTGATTCCTCGCATAGATTGAAAGAGGGTGTAAAGACCTGCAATTTAAAGTCCAGTGAACATGTTGATGTGAGCAAGAAGACCGAGGTGAAGTGTGGTACCTCTATTCACCGTGCTAAGGGTCGTTCTGGAGGAGTTCACGTGGATGTTTGGGGGCCTTCCAAGGGGGCATCATTGGGAGGTAATAGGCGTTTGGTTTCCTTTGTTGGTGACTGTTCTAGGCGTATTTGGGTTGTAACCAAATCCCCTTTGGAGAAAGTCCTAGTAGTATCTAACAGATTGAAGAAGTGTGTGATAGACAGAAAGGTGAAGGAACTTCATTCTGATTTTGATGGGAGGTACAAGATGGACCTGTTTCTGCATTGGAGCAGAGCTCACGGCATTTCGAGACACTTCGTTGAAAAGGAAATCTTGGGGCAGCTAGATAGGGTGACAAATATGGAGAACCGTGCCTTGCTAGAGGAGGATCGGTGTTTGTTGTCAAGCAATGGCTTGCAGAAGAGTTTCTGGACCGAGGCTTCGACATATTTGGGTCATCCTATTAAAGAGTTGTCAACTGCTGTGATTGGAGGTAAAACTCCATTGGAAGATAGGTCTGGTAGTGTCACTTCGGTTGAGGCTTCGATGAGGGAGCTATTTGACTCTCAGCAGGTGAAGAGTTTTAGACAGACCTTAGATGTATCGCAGCGGGTGGAGTTTGATGCTACTCCACATTGGGTAAAGATTACTCCAGATCATACTGTATTATTTGGGATTCCAGCTGAAGTGGCACAGCTTAGGGATCATTTGGATTTAGGTGCAGATGATGAGTTGGGTTCTGATTCGAATGCAGCTGATAGATGCAGTTTGGATATGGCCATTGGTTCACCTCAGGTGGAGGTGTTTGAGGCCATTGGAGGTGCTATCAGCCGCAGAGTTGATGATATTGGAGAAGGATTGCGAACTCTTCTATTGGTTTGAGGGATGAACTACGGGCGGCTTGATCCCTTGGGAGAGGGGGTACGTAGGCAACCATATTGGTGCAGCCGAGTTTGGAGAGACGACACATTGGTGCTCATGTTTGTGTCGGCTCAGTGTTGGGAACACTTCGCCGAGGTAGAGAATTGTGAAAACGGCGAAAATTATGAAAAACGTGAAGAAAAACCCAAAACAGACTCCACCATACCCTAGTGTGGTGTCTGCTATGGGTGTGGCAGAATCTGCCCTGTCTGCCATGGGTGTGGTCTGCGCCACACCCTGGTGTGGCAGAATCTGTCCTGTCTGCCATGGGTGTGGTCTGCGCTACACCCTGGTGTGGCAGACTCGTTTTTAGAATCCTCCTTTGTTTGGGAATCCTCCTTTGTTTGGGATTGTGTTTTATTATAAATAGGACCACGTTTTTTAGGGTTTCTTAAGGAGAGAAAAGGAGAGAATTAGCATTGTTTTGAGCACTTTGAGAGGGAGATATTGTGAGGGAGTTGAGAGCTTTGGTTAGGGTTATATTTGAGTGATTTTGTGAGTTGTAACTCGTTGTATTTCTCCTCCATATAGTGAAATCTCCCCATCCTCTCCCCGTGGACGTAGGCAATTGCCGAACCACGTAAATCCTTGTGTTTGGTTTGATTTGTGTCGTATTTTGGTGAATTGCACTCTTGATTTGGTTTGGTTTTCTTTTCTCATCACTCACCGACTCGTTTGGTTGTCGAGCACGCTTCCGCACGGCGCGCAATAGAAAGTATACACAAAAATATAACCCCCCTTGCAGCCCGAAAAGCCCGTCCCCCCTCTTTTGTTTTGTACAAATCGTACTATTTCATCCTTGAACATGAATGTTACTCGTACTCATAAAAAAAATATTCTCAATTTTCACTCTTCTGATATTTTGAGCACTTACAATCATACGAACATAAGCGCATAAATTGCAATTGCAACTTCCAATAAATAGGGCTGCAATGCAACCCTGAACAATATCCCAAACATCAACCACAATTACAATTATAAATTGCTAAAGAAAGTGAAACATGATACTATAAGAATAACCATACGCAGCAATAACTATAATATTGGTTGCACACTTGCATTGCAATTAAATTGCAGCCAAACCAAATAAAAAACACTAAATTAAACTTGCAACAAATGGCTTTCCTAAATAACAATAACTTGTACAAATTTCAAGGATTTGAATCCTCTCGGCTACCAAAAAAAATTAGTAGACGGACCATTACATTACTTAGAGACACGCTGATTTGTGTAACTATGATTCATTCTAAATATAGCACTAATCCCTCCGAGAATTACACTAATTCCTAATTTAATCCCCCTTTATAATCACCTGTCATCAATGATCAACCACCCAATCCAAACTCTAAAACTGCACATCACAACACAGCAAACATAAACAATATTACAGCAAAATAGCAAGCGCACAAGACATACGACATGAGAGCAAATGAACCACCCCCGTCCACGACGACTCTTTACATCCAACTAAACAATCAGAATTAGCAGTAACATACTACCTTCCTCCCCAAAAAACCCACCAAAGTAACTACAGGATGTTAAGATTAGTAAATGACCTGTCAAGATCACCAATATCCAAACTCAAAAATCCACATCACAGCACACCAGACAAATGATACCGCAACAAAAACGCATGAGCCCAAAGATGTAAGATGGTAAATGACCAATAGTCAAAAAGTTTTAATCAACGCACATCGCAAGCTTTCCATACTAAAAACACCACCACTGTTCACTTTCAAACTAACTACCAGACATCCAGAATTAGTACTAATACTGCTTACTACCTTCTTCCCGAAGAAAAAAAACCCACCAAAATGACTAGGGTTTTTAAGCAGCAGCCTGAGGCTCAACAGACCTCTTCTCGCCGTCAGATGCAACGATCCAGGAAACGCCAAAGGGATCCTTCACCTTGCCGACGACTCCACCGTAGCATCCATCTTCGTTCTCAGTAATCTCTGATGTGATCGCAGCTCCAGCAGTCACTGCAGTTGAGATCGCAGCCTCCACGTCGTCGGTCTTCAGGCGAAACACCAAGCCTACAGCTCTGTTCAAAGAAAAAAATTAAATATTTTCAAAATAGTTCGCTTCCATCTATTTATAGATGATCTAAAAGGTTTTTCCAGTAATAAAACGAAACGTTAAAGAAATTGCCATAAGAAAAAAACCTTCGATCTAACAAACACAGGATGCTCTCTTGACCAAAATAACAGAGAAAGGTAAATTCAAGGGTTTTTTAAATATGAGCTCCTTAAAATAAGTAATTTAATCACAGCCCCTCATGTTTTCATATTGTTGAGATTAGCCCCTCAAATAGCAACTTGAGGGGCTAATATAAAAATATGGAGGTTTAATGGGCTACCATCAAGTTACCTTCGATTTAAGGGGCTAATATCTATAAAAATCCTATATTCTATAATGAGATCTTACATCTACGACTAAAAATATTCAAAATAGTTGTCCGAACTTAAAAAGGATCTTGAAATTGCTTTAATGCTCATTTATAAACATAAAAGGAAATGCTAAAAGAAACTATGATTTATTTAAAGAAAAAAAACACGGATCTCTCCGAAACAAAGTGATCTCTTAAACAAAATGTCAGATAAATTTATTACAAAATTGCAGCTAGTTACAACTAAATACATAGAAAACATCTCACCACGATCTGAAGGGGAAAAAATTCTAGAAATCGCTACAGCGTCCGACCTAAAAGTGTTTTTTGCAAAACTAAGAAAAAAAACATAACAGAAATTGCTACCGATATAACAAAAAACAGAACGATCTCTAACCAAAATGTCAGATAAAAACATTAAGAAACGAAAAGAGCTACGATCAAACGTATTCATAATCAAAGTAGCTTCCAGATCTAAATAACAAGATGGAGAGCTCGCTTGAACGTCCGATCTACTTGGTTTTCGCCCTAATAAAACGCGAAAATTACAGAAATTGCTCAAAAAACATGATTTCTTCAACAGTTGTCACAGATCCAACAACTACGAACGATCTCCTTACCAAAAACACCAGATCAAGGCGAAAAAGACACTCACACGGCAAGATCATCGGTCTGATCGCAGACGAGGAAGCAGGAACCGCCGACCTTGAGCTCAGCGCAGAGAACAGGAGGGATCTCTTGATCGGCCTTGCGCTTGGGGTAAATCGACCTCTTCACCTCCTCAGCTCCGAACGCCGCCTTGTAGAAGGCCACCGCCTCCTCCGCCTTCTGCACGGGAACCACCACCTGCGCCTTCATCGCCATGAAGCTCGCCGCCGGCGACTTCGCTGCTGCTGCTGCTGCGATCTCCTCGGCCATGGCGGAAAATGAAACCCTAACCCCAGAAAAATGAGAGATAATTTGGAATAGGGAGGGTCTAGAGCTAGGAACGGAAATGGAGTGGGTGAAGAGGGGTTATTTATAGAGCGACGAGAAGAACAAAACCGTAGATGAGAACGGATAGGTTGGTCATTACAGCATTTATTGTGAGTTATTACGAGAGTGCCCTCTGTCTTTATTAGGCCTTCGAGTCTGAGCATTTTTCTTGCTTAGCACCTTAAGATTTTGATTTTACAATTTTGACGCTGTGGTGGGTATCCTAGCTGAGCGGTGCTGAGTACACACGAGTTGCATGCTTACCTTGTACTACCGGTCTTCACACACAAAAAAGTAAAACATTTTCTTAAAAATTGCAAAAATAACAAATATAAATTACCAGTTTCTTGTTGGATTTAAATCTAATTAAATCTATTTATGGGCACATATGTTATATTAGTGTGTTGCTATCTTTAAAGTTGACCCATATAAAATGATTAATTAGTTAATTTGGGTCAATGGGTATTTAATTTAATCATGGGTTAATTGTGTAGATACCAGACTGCAATTCTAATTTGATGAGTGGCTAAATTAAAAAACTATAATATCTATAAATAAAGGGTTATGGTCCCTAATCTAAGGTTAAATATTTTCTAATTCTCTTAGTCCACATCTAAAGAGAAATCTAAAAGAGAGACCATCAATATTAGAAGATCGACCCCTTATTCAGATCCGTGCAAATTCGTCATGGATTCATGTATGCTTCCGCTCTTGTTATATTTAATCTTTTTTAATTAATCACAGCTATATTGTTTGAATTTGATCGAATAAGATCAACAAGTGGTATCAGAGCCACCGTGATTAGTTCTTAGGGATCTAAGATTAAGTTTAAGAAATTAGGGTTTTTTATCTTAATTTGTTTTATTAAGAACTGTTGCACGCATGAACAGTAACGAATTTGAATTCAGTTTTTATGCTGCACTGTAGCGTGCATGTTTTATTCAAACTTCTCTTGTTCAATCTGGATCAAATTTTTGATCCAAATTGTGTGTAATTTTATCATTTTTTATGAACTCTGGTTGTTGAATCTGGATACTTTCATGAATTAAGATCGCGTACAAAATAATTCAGGGATTAAGTTCAAAATAAAATTCAACTTTGTTTTGGTCGTCGTTCACTTGGGCTCTTCGCCGGCGATGATCGCTGGCGGCCCCGCTGTCAAATAAAGACGGCGGCGGCGGCAATCAGGAAACCCTAGGGTTTCAAAACCCTAGGGTGCGAGAGCTTAAGCGGCGGCGGTGGTTCAGAATGAAACCCTAAGGGGTGATTGTGCAGGAATTAGGGCTGAGGATCTTACCTGCTTTTAGGCAAGCTTCGATCTGTTGCAGATGAGCTTCGTCGGCTACGTCAGCAGGAGAGCTTGTCAGCAACACCTTCAGACGAGCTCGAGCCTATTCAGGCAAGCTCGAGCCTAAATCAGGCGAGCTCAAGCCTATTCAGGCGAGCTCGAGCCTATTCAGGGGAGCTCGAGCCTATTCAGGCGAGCTCGAGCCCAAATCAGGCGAGCTCGTGCCTCAGGAGAGCTCGAACCCAATATTAGGTGAGCTCGAGCCTAGATGTCAATGTTGATGCGTAAAAGATTGACTTTCCACTCAGGGTGGTCTGTTTGTATTTATAAGAATGACTTATTACAAACTAATGATTAATGTTTTACAACAGAGGAGGAGGAAATGACCCTCCTTGTTTAACGTGGGTTCATTGGCAGCGGTAGGACACCTCCCTCGGTGCTCGTACCGAGTTTGATTCCCTTGGAGGATCCGATCGAAGTTGCTGTTGGAGTTCGAATTCCCGAGCTTGATGAGTATCAAGATCGAATGCACCAAGAAGGCTACAATGCAAGAGTTTGCAGAGCCAATGAGCCAAGAGTCTCCAAATCTGAGAGTTCAGATTAAGACTTTAAAAATACCAAGGGGGCTGTCCCAAAGAAGGTCCAGCCAGCCACTTAAAAGGTCAAGTTCTAAAGAATGCCAAGACCTAAGAAAGGGCCAAACCAAGTCAGCCCCTTAAAAGATCAAGTTCTCCGGAAGACCAAAGACCCCTTCTCATATAGCCATCAATGGCTATTTATAGAAAATAAAAGTCATGGCCAATCCCTTGATTTGTGGGATATGGCAACGCCTGGGTAAGGAGAAACATGCTCTTCCCCCTTAATTTATGGGATGTGACCACTAATGGGATAAGGAGTACCATACTCTCTCCCTTGAAATATGGGATGCGACCACTGATATGACAAGGAGTATCATACTCTCTCCCTTAAAACATGGGATATGACCATTGTGTGATCGCTCCCATACCTCAAGTGGACAGCTGACGAGCTTGACCAACCTTCTGGTGAGTCGGCGATTCTGCAGCAGGAGAGCTGGAGCATGCAGGCGAGTCGACGACGTTGCAGGCGCGCTGGCGACCCTATAGGCTAGCTTGGCTCATATAGGCGAGCTTTAAGCTGTCAGGCGAGCTTGCCTTGTGCAGGCGAGATTCAAGCAAGTGGACCAGCTTCAAGCGTGCATGCGAGCTTAGGTTATACAGGCGAGCTTTCAGCTATCGGGCGAGTTATCCTTGTGCAGGCGAGCTTCCAGCCGTCGGGCGAGCTTACCTTATGCATGCGAACTTCAAGCATGCATGCAACCTTTAAGCGTGGAGGCGAGCTTCTAACTATCAGGCGAGCTTGGCAGGCGAGGCTGGGCAGGCGAGCCAACCTCATTCAAGTGAGCTAAACTCCTTTGTAGGCGAGCTCCAGAACATGCTATGAAGAACATGTCATAACTTTTAAACCGTAAGTCACAATTTGACGAATTATTTATGAAAATCGCCTATCTCGATGAGATGGAGCCGATCATACTGACCCAAAGGGTTCGGTTTGCCTCCGTTTATTTCACCAAATTCCTTCCGGTTTGAGAGATATCAATATTTTTCTCTTTTTTGCTATTTCGGGTGAGGTTTTAGCAGTCTTGTTCTAAACTTCTCTGATAGGGATTAAAGGTAATTTTTATTGCCTACAGTCAAGTGAGCTCAAGCCTCAAATCAGGCGAGCTCGACATTGTTCTTTAGGCGAGCTCGAATACGGCGAGCTTGAGTTCGGCGAGTTCTTCAATTTCAGGCAAGCTTTTGGCTTGTGTTTGGGAAAAATAAGGCTGGGGCGAACTCATTTGAGAAATACTCAAGCTTAAACCCACTTAAGAAATGATTTGGGTCTGATATGAACGGGCTTTTGATTAAATTAAGTATTATTTGAATTTCTCAAATAATTTCATCTTATGGGCCTACAAATTACTTATGTTTTGGACCTGGATTATTTGAATTGCTCAAATAATTAATTAAGTTATGGGGCCCTAATTAAGCTATGAAAATTTATTTAATTTTAATTAAACTATTCAATTTAAATTAAATTTGGTAGTTAATCAATTATTTAATTCAAATATTATGACACTAAGGTATTAATTTGTCTCTCATTCCAAATGATTAATTGAAATAAGATATTGCCAAAGTAACATCTCTTGTGTAGATTGTTCATGAGGGATGTTAGATGGTTGTGTGTATTTTTGTGTATGTTTTCATGTAAATATTTAATCGGCATGTAAATATTTAATCGGCCCAAAAGGAGGTTAATATTTATTTAGACTGCATACACATCTGCGATGATAAACGTGTGACAATTATAAGGTTTATATGTGAATAATGAATCAATCCAAAGATAGTTTTATTATTTGACATGTATTATTGTCAGTGTTTGATCGTTGCAACAAGGTATCACTTGCAATTAATATTATTGTCTAAAGATTTGATATTAATGTTGTACTAAATATCTTGAGATGAGATTTGTCATTATTTGAATTTTATTGATTACTAATTATAGTTAATAATATGAAAATCTTTTGTTTATTTCAGCTAATGCATCTGTTGCAATAATTTCTGCTAACATCAATTTAATTCACATGCTCAATGGGAAAATTTTAAGATTCGAAAAGAGAACATTTTAATTGTTCTTAGCTGCATGGATCTAGACCTTGCATTAAGAACTGAACAACCTCAACTTCTCTCTGTGGATAGCACTCCTGATGCAAAGAAAAAGTATGAGAAATGGGAGTGCTCAAATCACATGAGTCTAATGATCATAAAGCGCAGCGTTCCGGAAGCCTTCAGGGGCATAGAATCTGAAGGGATTACTAAAGCTAAAGAATTTCTTACCGAAATTGAGAAACATTTTGCTAAAAATGATAAGGTAAAAACAAGCACACTATTAGCTTGTTTGATTTCGATGAAGTATAAGGGCAAATGAAATATCAGGGAGTACATTATGGAAATATCTCATATTGTTTCAAAAATTAAGGCACTTAAACTCGATCTTTGTGATGAGTTATTGGTGCATCTGGTTCTGTTGTCTCTTCCTACACAGTGTAATCAGTTCAAAGTCAGTTATAACTGCCAAAAGGAGAAATTACTCTAAATGAGCTCATTTCATACTGTGTGCAAGAAGAAGACAGGTTAAAGCAAGATAAGACTGAAAGTACTCATTTGGCTTATGCCTCTAAGGATAAGGGCAAGAAAAGAAAGAATGGTAATGAAACTGCAAAGGGTCCAATTTAGAAGAAACAACATAAGAATGATCATGATTGTTTCTTTTGCAATAAGGCTAGACATGTAAAGAAAGATTGTACCAAATATCATACCTAGTGTGCTAAGAAGGGTATGTTCCTTACTTTGGTTTGTTTTGAGGTTAATTTAGCTTCAGTTCCTAGAAACACTTGGTGGTTAGACTCTGGTGCTACTATTCATATAAGTGTTTCTATGTAGGGCTGTCTGAGCTACCGAAAGCCAAGTGATGTTGAAAGACACATCTTTGTAGGCGATGGACAATCGGTAGACGTGGAAGCAATTGGGTACTTTAGGTTACTATTAGAAACTGGTTCATATTTGGATCTAAAAGATATTTTTATGATACCATCTTTTAGAAGGAATTTGGTCTATGTTTCTGCATTGGACAAATCAGGTTATCATTGTTCATTTGGAAACAATCAATTCGGTTTAT